GTGCATCGAGATGGTAAGCAAGACATATGCTGCACCGCACATGCTCCGAACACACTTTTTCGGAGTCCAAGCAGCTTCTCATCCGAGCCTTCTGGACACTCCATGCCCTGGAATTGCACTGGCGCACACCACAAAACCATGCGAAACGTAAAGCAGCCGTGAGCGGGCCTTTGGGCAGGCCACGCAGCGACTGGCGATCCCCGAAGCGGGCATATAAAGAGAGGTGTCCTCAAGGATCAAAGGATTGGGCATCTGGCTGCTGAATCTTCGAAGGGAGGGGGGCAACACCTTCGATATCCTTCTGCCGAAGCGTCGCACCCGCATTCGGGTCGTAGCTGACCGTTGTCGTCGATGTCGTAGCAGGGGCGGAATGTCGTTGCAGGACAAATGCAGTCGGCCTTGTCATTGTGGAGTCCCGTAGATGACCCGAGAGGAAAATTGCCCTGTGTTCCACCTCCCCGATTGCGGAACGATGTGCCTACTTTGGAAACTACACAAGCGGCAGAGAAAATGAAAACGAACATATGCAAACTGGATGCGGGGTCAGGACATGTGCAATGTCAAAGCACGTAAACATGTCAGCAGAAAGTGCGGTATGAGCAAGAAGCGAGAATGGAACAGGATGCCACATCTGACGGTAACAAAACGAAGATCAAAGCACCGGATGCCCGGCTGGGCCGCGAAGCTTGCAAACAACAAAAACAAGATTGCAAAATGCCTACTGCCCTGTCCAACATCCTGACGCCGAAACAAGGACTTTGAAAGACACGAGATACGGGTAGGCTTCGGCTGTGTAGCCTGCTGTTTTGCAATGGTTTGCCCATGCTTTGCGAGGTTACTGAACGCCGAACGCCTCGATATGAGAATGACTCTTACTGAGTAGCAGATACACAGAATGCATGCTTCACAGTCTAGCGTGTGGTTTTGCCTCACCCAACCCCCAGCAACCGAACCCTACACCCACCCCGCCCCATCTAAAAATCTGAAGAAATTGTTTGGGGGGGCTCAAGGTTGTTTGCGGCGGAACGACCTCTAGGGGGCTCTTCTGAGCTTCTTCTGGGTTTTTTTCATTTTTCATGTCAGCAAAGCAGCTAGCAAGACCTTCAAGATTTCAAATCTGAACGTCTCAAGGTTTTACAGCTTCGGGCTGCAGCCATGAAGACTGGAGGCTTTAAGCATCTTGGGGCTGTGCTCTTGAAGCACGCAAGTTTCAGATCTTTGGGCTGCAGCTTTCAAGGCTAGAGGCTTTGGGTTTCAGATTTTGCTGTGGAGCACCGTTCGTTGTTTGACATTCCGGGCCAGTTCATTATTCTGTCCGGGAAAAATTACGGACCACTTGCTATTGAGCTTCGGCCACAATTCACTGCATTGCGGCTGACAGCGTTCCGGTCCCGACCAAGAGGCGTCTAGAATACTCCAAAATTTGTGGTCCACCCCTCCCCCCCCTCCCGACAACGGACCTGCCCGAAACCCCTCGAAGGAGTCGCAATCCGATGCCGTGTGGAGTCCAGCTTGTGGGTGTTGTGAAGCGCGCCAAACGCCCTTTGGGACCCCCTGCTCGCGGGCACCCCTCCTGGCCTACCTCGCCGCGCAAGGGTCGGACTCTGGGCCGCAGCCCCACCCAAAGAAGCCTCAACACCCATCACCTGGGACCCTCCTCAGACTGAAGCCCTGCCACCTCCTGAACTCATGACGTGTGTGGCACGACATATGACTTTGCGTTTCCTTCGTCTCCGATGCCCGGCGTTGGGCCGTCCCGGTTGCCGAGGCTGTAAACGCAAGCGTTTACAAATACCTCAAAGAGTCTTGTTCGTCTTTGCCACAGCTCCTGCTCCTTTGGTGATTAGATGCCAAAGACCGTGGTGGGGGTGGTGGACGCAATTGGCAGTTCGACCGTTCGCCCTGTCGACCTGTACCTTTGCAAAGGAGCCTGAGTGAAGATATGTGAAGAGAGAACATGAAGAGACAATGCGGTACACAAGGAATCGCAAAGAGGACGAGTCTTCGACCGTATCCGAAAATGTTCACCGGCATACAAGCAGAAGCAACATCAGCAAGCTAATACAAACTCAAGAAAATTCAGGCCCTCTGGGTCGGAGAGAGCAGAGCGGGCCTCAGAGGTCATCCCGACAGTGCCGGTTGTCATGGGCGCCTTGCAAACACACATGTACACTCTGCACGTATTTGCACACATTCTTGCGCATGCTCACTTGTGAGGCCTTGTGAGGACTCACCAGTGCTGCGCGCACTTTCCACTGCAGTTTGAAGCCCACTGCATACATTAAACTGCCGGATCCCAGCTAGACTCCAAGAATCCAGGTTGTTTCCCGATCCACAGATCAGTTGAAGCATGGAGGTTCGTTCAGAAGTCCCTTTCTGAAAGGCAGCGCTCGCGGGCCTTGCAGTTCACGCAGCCCGTCTGCTTCGCCAACTCTTGATAGCTGCCCTTGGAACATCTGCTGCAGATCGTACCTCAGCACCGGTAATTCCTGCATGGAGGCCTGTCGGTTTGGGAAGGGCATGCTGCTGCTCAACGGCTTGCATGGTGGAAGTGCATTTAGGACACATCCCCTGCAGGCACAAGTCTCACAGACTGCAAAGTTCTTCTCAGACACGCCCAGGTTTTGACGGCCCAGGTACAATCGGCCAAGGTCAAACCCATCCATGAAAGGAGGAAGTCAAAGCTACACAGAAGAAAGTCATGAGTCGTGGGACTCTGGCGATGGCATGGACCGAGGGTCCCAACCTTTAAACTTTAGACTGTTGGACCTACTCATAGCAAGCGCTGAAGCTTGGAATCCTGCCTGCTGGATGACTGTAGGTTCCGGCCTGGCATACCGCGCCTTGCCAAGCCATGGGAGCACAGAGGTTTAGGCTTTTGTGGCGTTTCGGGCATCCATGCAAGCTTTGACGAAACAAACTGGGAATGTTGCGACCTCGCTTGCTCCAACATACACACTCCTGACGCATCAGGCGTCGTTCAGCCACGCTGCATTCCGTCTGGGCACCCTGTTCTTGAGCCGTCCCATCCAGACCTTGGCTCAAAAAAGTGCATGGCTTAAGGACATCTCTTCGTGGATGGTTGCGTGCCTCTTCCTGCTTACTCTCCAGCCCCACTTGGTCCTGATTCGTGCTTTCAGGATCCTCATCAACAGCTCAGTCGAGATGCAGGTAGTGCAAACTGCGCTGTTGCCGTCATCGTCCTGTGGACATGAGATCTTGTCGGCGCGGGGCCCAAGGCCGACCCCGCAGAGTTTTTGCAGAGCTCACAAGAATCCCTTGCAGCGCTAGCAGGACATTTGCACACGCGAGATCAAAAGACGAGCTGAATGGCCCTGCCGAGAGATCCTCCTCCCAAGGCACCCCACCCTGTGCTGCACAACCCTCACCACCCCTCTCGTTTTTGATGACTTCGCTGGTTGGGAAGCCCCAAGAGAGGACAAGTCACACTACCCCACAGCAAGGCCCAAAGCTTGAGCATTGGTCGCCTGTGCCCGTGCATTCAGACGCCAAAAAGTACTGGTACTGGTAGCGAGGCCGATGCCAGGCAAGTCATGGAGCAGGTCCCTCATGTCCCTCGTCCTTATAGGACTCTGCAAAGCGGCCAGGCACACAGAGGCCGCAGGAGTCAGCTGCCGCTCGGGTCTCAACAGAGGGAGGAATGAAAAGCTATCAGACATGAGGATCGTTAAGGTTTCTTGTTGCATTTGAAACGCGTACAATCGCGTACATGACCTTACCATGCCAGACCCGTAACCACACGACAAATGGCTGCTGAAATTTCGGCCAAGGGTCGGTGACAAACTCTCCCATGCTCGAGACCATGCCGTAACTCAGAAGCTCTCGAAAGCACGGGAAGCGACAGTGATGAGAGCCCCTCTTTCAACAGTTTAGCAGTCAGCGGGCCCTGTGACGAGTGAGCACATGCCCCCGAACTAGACACACGTGATGGGCAGCCCTCCAACATCCTCCAACTGATGAACCTGTCTCCACCATGACTGACAAGTCGTACATACTGCCCTTGGCACCCAAAATCTTCGGAGGTGAAATGCCAGACACCTTACGCAAACCTACCCAGCTGCTACCCAGAGGCCCTTTCCCACGGTTGCAAGCTGTTGACACCGGAATCCAGTCTCGCCAACGGGCCTGCAGCAATGAACTTACGGAAACGCTTATAAGCCCATGTCGACTCTGTGTTCAAGGCATCGTGTTGCCGGCAGACGCCAAGAAGCCAGAAGTCCGGGCCACACGCAAGTGATGAGAGACGACATCAGCAAACACGTTTTTTCGAACATCAAGCAACTGAAGTAACTTAGAGAACCTAGAACAACTATTTTGCTATGAAAAAACCCAATCTCTTATCCAGAAAGCGATGGGTCCGACCAAACAGCATCAACCAAGCATGTGCATTTAGTCAGCTGCCTCGTTGCTTCGCACCCAATCACAAGCTGCTTCTTCAAGTGCATTGGAGGAGCCTGCTCAGACCGGAACTGAAGCGCTTCTTGGATTTAGCTCAAGAACTACTGACCCTCGCCACACTACACACGGCCGAACATCCCAAACCCTGCTGGAGACCTGGTACACTCATGGTAGTAGCATCATAGCTTAGCTGGAAAAAGCCATATTCCAGACTATATACCGACGCACTGACGGGTGACCTTCTTGGGCAAATCATGGCAAATCAAAAACTGGAATGGCAAGCCAATTGAAATCATAGTAGATCAAGCATACAACCCTAAACACGATAAGAAATCCAAAGGGTACCACTAAAATGAATGTGAAGCTTGCGGTCATTAATTCCTTGATTGCTTCCTGCCTTCCTTCCTGCGTTCCCCTCCTTCGGGCAGGTGGAGCAGAAACTGGACTTGCAAGGACATGCCCACCCACCTGCATTCGACAATCGAATGTTCTCTTCAAGAAGCGCATCGATATCAGCATTGTACAAAGTCCTTGGCCGAGCGTGCATGCTGGGATCTGCTGCCCGGGATGCGAAGCTCACGTTAGCTCACGTTAGCTGGATGATTTGCAGAGACAGGCAACTGCTCGGTTAGCAAGAAGAGGACCTTCGGCGCGACATTCCCAAGCTGCACATCGGCGGTTGAGTACATCTTCACATCGGAAGCATCGCTTGTTAGAATCCTGGTGGTCACAGCTGTTGCATGAACCCACCTGCTGCAAACCTTGCCCTCACTAAGCTGCAGTGCAGCACAAAGAATGCCAATGAAAATGTTTATGAGTGTTTCAGGTCCATGAATTCAAGCCGAAAAACCCGCGGCGCACTTCGTCTGCTCTGTAAGGGGGGAAAATGGTTTTGATGGCACCATCCGCCTTGAAAGTGGCATCCGGATACCACCAGTACGTGAAGACGTTGTAGGTTTTGGGCGTGCTTACATAAGCTCCCCATGTGGCCAAATCTCCCATTGCCAAGGGGATGTCGAAGGCTCCCGCTTTCTGTCTCAGCGGCTCATACGCCCACTGAGAATAAGTCGTGTAGGGCGCGCATGTGTTTGGAGTGCTTCTGCAGGTGGGCGCGAGCCACCACCGATCTTGGTTGTAGCACTTCCACTTCTGCACGCCATCGACCATGTGCACTGCATCTGTGTCACCAGTAACGGCTAAGTAATTCGGGATTTGGCCTAGCAGCCTCGCGGAGTTACAATCTGCCAGGTCAGACACACTGATGTCTTCCATCCGGGAGAAAAAACTTGAGTAGTCCCCCCAGCTTGCATTCAAGTCCTTGTAATACTCTATTGACCTGCCCGTGCCGGCATAGTATTGAGCATACATTGCAGGGAAAACGTACATTCCATCGGTGCCCACATACTGCATCGTCTTGAAACGATCCATAGCTTTGTCGGGATTTGCACGGTCGAAAGCCTCTTGGTGCGGGACGATAAGGTAGTCCCACCTTTAGACTCACACGCCGCAAACTAAGTGGATCTAGCAGGCAACCAAAACTAAGGCGAGGCAAACAAAGGAAGATCACCAAACATTGATGCTTTTGGCAGATCCCGGCACAGCTCGGTGGCCACGTGAATGTCCGGGTTGTTCGCCGCGATGTTGTAAGTCCCCGAAATCAATCCACTTGTCGGTCCCTGGAACGTATGGTAGCCGAGGATCTCTTTGATGAGGATCATGCTGATTGTGTCTTGGCTGAACCACAATTTCGTCAGTACTATGCATTCGTAGTGCGACACTTGCTACAACGCCAGCTCCTTAAACTTAATCATTGCCGGGCCATGTCTGTGCTGCACAAGCGGCTATAGACCACGGCGGACTCCCAGTAAGGACTTGTGAAGCCGATGGGCCCTGTGAACGAACCGATGGTGATGTTCAACCTCGGAGCTGCAGTTCTATAGTCAAAGCAGTCCGTTGCCACAAGCCAACCCTGAAGTCGGCCGTGAAAACTACATGAGACCAAGAGGTGGAGAGGCATTTAAACCCAATTTTGTATGTAAAAAAAGAAGAACAAGACACGACGTCTTTGAGCGCGGTGGGAATCAACCCCGACTAAATCCCAACCCGACAAGCGGGGATGTTCGACGGTTCGATTTTGCGCACCACTTGGGACACTCACAGGCCGACAGGCCGACAGGCCGACAGGCCGACAGGCGCAGTACACTCGCAGTACCATCAGGCCTCGGCCTGAGATCCAAAGCAATTATCCCTGCTCACCTCAAGCCTGCAAGCATCTTGAGAATCGGAAAACTACTGTCCTTTGGTTGAATCTCTTGCTTCGTTCGCTGTCTCATCTCGGAGTGCTTCGCGCTCCTTGGATGACTTTCGCTAAGCATTGATGAACTTATGTGCCCCCCCACCACAACTCAATCTTGCTCAGCCAGACCTGATCTGATTAGCATTGGTGGTGGACTCGTCGCACAAGGTGGATCGAATCAACCGCAGCGTTAAGAATGCATACGAAACATCCAGGGCACCAATGCACCAATCCCTTCCTTGGCAGCTACCTGCACAAGTCGAACCACGATGCTTTCTCTTCATTGCCCACTGTCTGCATATGAACCCAGGTGGCATCCAGTGATGTCAGGGTGGTGCTTAAAGCAACCACAGCCGCGACTCTGTGAATGTGCAAGAAGGGCAGCTTCGTGCATGTTAATTAGAGCCGATGTAGTGATTTGGTCGAGTTTCTCACAGACGTCTCGACACATGACAACACGAAGACTGCCATAATTGCTACTTCGTACAAATCCAGCTGAACTTAAATCTCTGGCGGCTGGATGAAGTCTTCCCCGGTGCCCCCAGGGCCTTCATTTCAGGCAGTGAAAAAAAGACATCTAATTGAAATGAAGGTTTTAACGAATGAAATGGTTGGTCTTTCTGTTTTTGCCAAGCATTTCATATACATACATATATATATATATAATTATGTTGATCCAAACTGTTCTTTACATCTTATTAATGTGAAGAAAGGATATTGTTATCATGAGACCCTATATTGACCTTATTATTCTCTAGAGATCCTATATTCAGTTCAGTCTCAACATACGACATATGAAGCCATTACAAGAACTTTGTAAACGAAGTGAATTCTTTGCTTCTTTTCACGTAGAATTGCGGGCGTTCAATTGTCAATAACATATTCACGCCCATATCATTCCGTTAATCTACTCCTATTATTTCCTTTCCAAATAAGAAAAGCGAACACAACTTCCCATAAAACAGAACGACGCAGGAAATTCGCCCATTGAATTCTTTCATACGGCTGTGGGGGCGGCGCCTTGGTAACGGGCACGGCAGGCTTGGCCGCTCCCGCATTTACAGGCTGCATGGGGGTGCAGGCAAGAAGCTTCTTCAAGGAAAGTAAAGTGTAAACCTGACAGTCCTATGGTGATCAGGCCCCTGGGTAGGAGAAAGAGACCTACTTGGGAACCAGGAGGCCTGGTTCCAGGTAAATTTGTTGTCGGTGCGAAACACCGGAAGGCCAGTGTGAGCCTCGAGGTGAGAGCTAGAAGGCGAAGGCAAGACACGCTGGAAACGAAAAACCTACGGGGCTTCTTACTAGGAATCCCCCGCTGACATGAAGGTCCTGGCACCTGAAACTAAGGGTTGCACATTGCCACCACGACCTCATACAAAAAATCGCCCAGAAGTATGGCCGTGCCCAATAAACCCTTAAGTCAAGATATGTTTATACACAAATGGGCTAAAGCTATGGACCTGGTGCAGCCGATTTGTTAATTAAAATTCGAACTTGCTAAGTGTAAGTGTGTGGGTGTGTGCACCGAAAGAACCCAAGCCTGCGAAAACGGAGAGGATGGCGCAGAGTTGAAGACATGTGCCCACAAGGCCCTGGGGCGCACCCTCCGGGGCTCCCAGAGCGCGTCGGGATGGCGTATGTGCTCGAGCTGCTCGAGCGGTATGTGGAAGGTGACTAACCAGATGTATGCGCATACGATTTCCAGATGAAGCGTGTGCCGTTGTTGATGAATGCGTGTGAAGGTGTTCTGATTGAAATGCAAGGCAAAGCGTTCGATGTGCGTCTCTTGGAGCTTCTGGGAAGTTCCTACAATCTTCGTGTAGAGCTTCAGGAATTCCACTCCGTCCCCCTCGTCGCCCATTATATAGGTTCTTTTAATGCTTGAAACAATGTTTTCATGGCTCATCACGTTCTCAGACACCTATCTCCTAACGAAGATGGCCCCGCCTCCCACCCATATCTCCCATGTCCTTTTAGTTCGAAACTGCTAGCTGGCGTATGCTTATAGGGTCAAGGACTTCCTATACACCATGTCTTTAGAAATTGCCGATTAAAGCCGTCTAGCCTGACTCTAACCTGCGTCTCCTTTGAAAGGTTTGAAGGTGGACCTTCAACCGGGTGTTGGGGAGCACTTTCTTGAACCTGTCAGGAAGCACCTGCAACCGCTTGACCTTTCCCGCCAAGAAGCCTGTCTGCATCAGCAACATAGCCTATAGTGGAGGGCGGCAGGCATGACGGGCTTGCCAAAGGCCACCATGCCAGTGACCTTATCCAACATGGTGGTGGCTTGTGGAACTTGCGGGCATTGGGAATTGAAATTCTAGCACCAAAAACATGCTGGTCGACTCGGTAATGGGAACATTCCAAAACATGTGCCTTCGGCCCCCAATCATTCACGCAAGCTGGAAAACAAACTCTTTGCGATTCGTGACCACACCCACAGCAGGCAAGGCATCTTCGCGGACCTCGTTGCCTTAAGTGCCTTGAGCCGAAGAACAAGGCAACACGCAGTGCGCACTGCAAGTACATCACAACTTGGTGTTCCAGACACCTTGGACTTGCGGAGCATGTCTGTAGCATCATCAGGACACATAAAGCACTGATCCATGAAGAGGCAGATGCAGTTTCCTACAAAATCTGGTCACACTCCTCCTGCACAAATATTTTTGGTTTGCAAACGAATGAGGCACGGTTCCATGTTTTTCGAGCAGTCTGGTCACATGCGACCGCCTCCCGCTGCTACCCTCTACTTCTTTAAGCAAATTCTCGTGACATACTATGACTCATACCGCTTGACAAGTTATGACTCATCGTCACCCGCTCCGACTAGCTAAACGGTTGACCACAAAACACAGCGGCGTCACTAATCGATGTCAAGTCTCACTGTTTGAACCGCTAACGAGAGAAGGCCAAAGACCGGTCGCACACACTTTCCTTTTTTTCTCCGAGGTGCTTGGGCAAGCTGAAAGTGTCTGAGTGGCACAAGCTGACCAGAAGGAGAAAGCAGCATTCCGCGAGGCTAGGATTTCTGTGCCAGTGTCGCCTACCACGGTGATTTGCTGGATGCTGTTAATTGTGCCCTAGGTTTGGAGCGTGCCCTTTCTGGTGCGGCTGTGGCCTGACGGATGGAGGCAGTAGCCGCACCTTCCGTGTCCCTCATGCTGTGTACGGTTTTTCCGCTCGAAACATCCGGTTTGGCTCCCATGGAACACGAGGGCCGACGAAGGGCCAGTTTGGAGGTCGCATCGTTGCAGAGGCGTATGTTTAACACGGGGCGGGGGAGTAAGTGGGGTCATCAGGGGGCCCTGGAGGCCTGCGCCCCCAAGTCGCCATTCACGAGACAGCCAGGCTGACCACATTGTTGCACCAGGATCTTCCGTTCCCAACGCGCCAAAGGAAACGCGCCAAAGGAACTGTTCGGGGAATGCTTAAGTAGATTCAATGCTGAAAGCAAAGACAAGCATCCCACAACGTGCACAAGCTCAGTAGCTGCAATGCATGTGCAATAATTTTCCGGTCGTGCAAAGTGGTGAAACCCACTTCCCTTAGGAAGGCCTTCCCCAGAAAGGTGTGCAAACAATGTATTGGGTTCGGGCGTATATACGAGTGCATACAGCTTCTGTAACTCAGACTCTCCAATTGCTTCCCTTCAGCCTGGTGCCACGTTTGGGCGCATCATGGCGCATCTCAACGACATTCAAGGCCTAGCCGTACTGCGCCAGGGCAGTCTGGATGTTGGTGACCGCCTTGCTGCAGGTGTGCAGCGCGCTCAGGAGCAGCTCGACTTGGGACAGCAAGTCCGAGAGTGGGTTGTCACCACGGTGAGTGATGGCGGCTGCACGCATCTTCTCGACCAGCTGCTGGAAGGTTTGCTTACGGGTTCCCACTGCTGCCAAGAGCCCGGACAATCTCCGGGTCGAGGCGTGGCTCTTGGGGGTCGAGGCAGCGGACCTCAAGGCATCAGAGCCTCGCTGGAGAATGGAATGTCGAAGGCTTGCAGCGGCACCAGTGTCGTCCGAGATGTCGAAGGTCGAAGCTTGCAGCCCTCGTTTGCAGAGGTCTTTGAACATCACGTCCACGCTGGTAAGCTCCGTTGTGAAGTACTCTTCCATCTCCAGCAGCAGTGACTTGAAGTCCAGGTTGTCTGACAGGACCGATGCCTCTGACTCGCCGATCATGGCAAAGAGCCACTCGAGCGTGCCCAGCTGCGATACGATTGTACGGAAGGAACTCTCCAGGTTTACGAAGAGCTCATACGGAAACTCAATTCCTTTAGGGGCTGGCTCATCCGCTGCACTGGGCAAAAGTCTCTTCAGATCATCTAGATGTCGCAAGACGAACGCCTCTTCGTTTGAAGATCCATCTGCGTTGGCAGATCCTTTGTCCGTGTTTTCCAGGCCCATGACCCTGGAGAGTAGCCCCATGGACTTTTTCAGGGTGTGCTTCAGCTGATGCTGAACAAGACCTCGAGCACTCGAGAAGAGCAGCAAATCCAGCGTCAACATGATTGCTCCTCCTAGAACAGCTGCCTTCACACTCGAGGCCAAGTACAACTCAGCCCCCAAGTCGATCGAGGAATTGTAGTCCCGGAACACGCCGCTTGCAGGCACCAAAGAATACACGCCAATTGCCAAGGTGGGAAGAGCCACAGCGGCGTTCACCGTTGAATGAAGTATCTGGAAAATCAGAACAAATGCGTAAAACCACAACCACGCTGCGAAGACTGCGGCATGGTACTCCGTCTTCACTGCGAGAACTTGGCCCAGGGAGTGCCCCAATACTGTGCCAACAACCACCGCATTCAGGCGTCGTGTGATCAAGCCCAGAGAGAACCCAGCACCAGTGGTGGTGGAAACGACCGTGGCGACTGTCACTGCCGCTCCAGATGTGTAGGCATTCAGCAATCTCTCTAGCCCAACCCAGCCAAACAAGAAAGCCAATACCATCGCCAGCGTACTTCGAATCACGAAGCGCAAGTGTGATGGATACTTTCCTTGGACTTGTGTTGTGAGGTCAAGGTCATGTCCTGACGGATTCTAAGTTTAGGAGGTTTCAGCACTTGGCGCAAGACCCAAGACAGCCTAAGAACCTATAGGTAAGGATCGAGTCTGCGGCAGCTCCAGTCTCCTTGCAAGATCAGACAGAAACCTGAGCAGAGTGTCAGCAGAGTTCATAACCGAAGCAGCAGTACTTAATAGGAAAAAGAGTGCGGTGCTAATGAGCTGTGGCTGAGTTGCTTCAAAGGGTTCCAGGTTGTACCGTACGAAGAACTGTCCAACACTTTGAGACGCAAGATCGTTCCTCACCGAGAAACGAGGTTGCGAAATGCTGTGCCAAGATGCTGACGCTTACAGTAGCTACAATGCCGAGGGTGCCTATACAGCATTTTCCGAAAACGCGCCTGATGCGATTGTGCATAAACCCAGCACAAAGCTCAGCATCTCTCCCCTGAGCAATTTCTGGGAAGCCGCCTTCGGAAACTCAGTCTTCATTGCATCCATAGCCTGACACACCATGTCACTGTGATGCTGGCACATGTTCACGTATGACCGTATGACAGTGTGTCGAGCCAAGCGGCTTCCTCAAAGTCCTCTGCGGCAAGCACATCCAGGGACGTGCCAGGGACTGGTAGTGCCCTAGCGGCACTGCTACAGACGTCTAGGAGGGAGGGCAGCGCAGCTGCGACGCCTTGAGCGTCCCCCGGAGGCATCCTCAGTTTGCGAAGGGCGCCACATGGCGCCACATCGCAACAAATTCTTCGCAACGACTTGCGGAGCACTTCCTGCCAAGTCTCTTTGTGGCCAAGTGGTTGGCCATCGAAGCATGTTGCAAGAGCGCAGCCATTAGCTCTGTGTAGGCCTCCAGCTTTTTCCGCCTCCGGCATCGTGATGCTAAGAAGCCGAAGTCCTTTCCGCGAGCAAAGTGGGAGAGTTGTGACAAACTGAAAGCGCTACTGCGGCAACACAACGAGAAAGCAATCTCTCCTCGAACCACGCGAAGGATAAGTGCTCCTGGATGTCTGATAGCCATTCTTTGGTCCCATCTATGGACGACCTGTGGGCTGGTCAGACTTTGTCTTTGGCATTCTGTGCTCAACAGGTCTCGAAATTCAATCCAAGCAAGAAACCAGCTGCTTTCTCAATATTAGTTCAACTCAACACACTGCATAACACTGCATACACGCAGTATGTTGAGAAGCCAAAGAATGGTCAAAGCGCATTACCATGGAGATTGTTGTGTCCAAATGGCTCGATGGCGAGGTTGACCTCGGCAGTGGCGGCGAAGGGCAGCGCCTCCAAGACCGCACTGAGCGTCTCGGCGAGCTCCGCGCTGAGCTTTGTGGCCTTGTGGAGGGCATCGTTCGGATAGGGCAGGAGCTGGCTAAGCACCGCGATGAAGGCACCGGCACAGGTCATGATGCTCTGGGTCCAAGGATCGCTTGGATCGTTGCTGAAAGCCGGGGATGAGGGATCCACGAAGGCCATGGCCCAGTAGAGCACGTAGATCAGCGAGTAGACGCGCACGCACGTGCCGAAGCCGATCCAGAGGAAGACCCCCGTGAAGAGGGCCAAGTCTCCCAGGATGATCAGTGCCCTCAAGCTTCCCTCGTCCAAGGCACTCCAGTGGACATTCATGAAGCACTCCCGCAAGAACTCTGCCGTGCTGTTGGTCTGAACAAAGCGCTCCCCGCTACCCAAGTTGCACAAGGGCAGCCAATCCGAAGCGTAAATGATTCGGCCGAGAGCAAGGTCCGTCACCTCCTCCCGGGTAGCAAAAGCACCACCATTAAGGTACGAACCGAATGCACGGTTCATCAGAAGAACGTTTCCGAGCGCAAGCATAGTCCCAATGATGCCCTCCAGGGAATAGCGCAACGAAGCCCCAAGCGAAGGCCCAAGTAGATAACAAAAGTTTTGCATCGCCACGCCGAAGCTGGCCATGTATTTGCTGCTCCTGGCGCCCCAGGTGTTGAAAAACTCGGCCACGGGATACACAATGACAGGTCCACCGATCACCAGCATCCAGAAAGACAGCCGGAATGACAACCACCAATTTGATTTGTAGCGCCGGCAAGCTCGCAAGGCAGTTTTCCTAAACTTTTGATGCGGGTGCAATTTCTCCAACACTTTGATCATCATATTTGCCCACTCTGGATCTGTGGGGGCATGCATGACTGGCCGCTCGGAGTCAAGTGTCAAGCATACTTGTTTGGGTGGCAACTTGTTTAGGCCGTGCTCGATGTCATGTAATTCGTCCACTGAATCAGCGTCCTCTTGCTGAACAGGAAGCACGTCACTGGCGTCTTCGTCCTTCGTCAGACTGACAATTCGAGCTGCCGCAGAATCAAACGCTTCGGGCGAAACGTCATGCGAAGTTTCACAAGCTTCATGCGAAGCTTGGTAGCTTGGTGGCATGGAACGACCTGGTGTGCAAAGCAGTGCTTGAACAGTATCCTTGCTTCTGTCACCTCGCTTTATGACCTTCAACTTCACGCTCCTCCCCACTAAGTCCGGCGGGGCGTCGCCATTGTGCTTTAGCACAGACGTGATCGTGCCTTCCACGCTCAAGAGCGGGCTTTCGCTGCCTTTGGCAGCGCTTCTTTGGCCCTCCCTCTGGCGCTCAAATGGCATCTCGACTCATACAACAACCTAAGGCATTAGGCTGCAAGAAGGCAACGTTAAGTTGCTAAAAAATTCGAACTCCACACCCGCGTTTTAGGAAGTGGTGACCCCTTTCACAACTTAATATGAGAGAGACATGCCTGAATCGATAAGTTTGAGCCGAATAGATGACATGAAACATGCAGCCCATGGCCAAGAAAAACAAAAATAAACCCGACAAACCAAACACATCAACTGCAAAGGAACCGTACAACTCAACTGTGCGCGGAGCGCACCCTGTCAGCGCCAAGGTTGAGTCATGCTATAGAGCAACGCCTGATCTCCCGCTGTTGAGCTTGCTCCCTCGCACATTTTCTGCTTCTGCGTGACAGCTGTCGTCCGGCGGCTCCACTTCGAACGACATTGCCAGGTGGCGAGAAAACAATAGCGGGTACTTGCATGACACTCCTAGAAAACTTGTAGATTTGGTAGTTTCTTTGCCGCCCAATTCCTTCGTATTTGAAGGGAAGGCTGGAGGACGCGTGACAGCCCCAAGAGACACACAGGACCAAGATCCGCAACCCCCGCTACCCTTGCACAAGAAACCTGGAATTTCAATCTTAAATATCAGAGATCGAAAGCTTACACCGCCACACCCCAGCACCGTGCGCACGTGCCACGACATGCCATAAGCCATGATAGCAAGGGCTGCAACGAAAAGCTCAACCTTTTTTTTTGCTCCTATGCGATTACACCGCTCTAGCGAAAAGAAAAGAGGAGCTATCTACATCCTAGCTGCCAACGTCGTGGAAAACCACCCAAAACACTGATGAAGATTGAAGGACCCACCGCAACCCTTGCACTTCCAGCCTACGGCAACCATGTGCATGTCAAGGGAGACGCGGACTCCAACAAGCCTGAGGTCGTGACCGGTGCCGTACCACTCTCTCCCTTTTTTGGTTTTTTCCTCTCTCTCTCTCTCTCTTTCTTTCTGGGGGGCGTGGGGGCAAACCCCCGGGCGTCATCCCCCGCCTCGCTCTGTCTCTCTCTCTCTCTTTCTTTCTGGGGGCGTGGGGGCAAACCCCCGGGTGTCATCCCCCGCCTCTGTCTCTCTCTCTCTCTCTCTCCCTCTCACTTTCTCTCTTTGTCTCTCTTTCGTTCTCTCTCATTCTCTCTCTCTCTCTCCCTCACTCTCGTTTTTTCTCTTTCTTTCTTTCTTTCTTTCTTTCTGTATTTCTTGCTTCCCTCTCTCTCTCTCTCTCTCTTTCTTTGGGGTATGGGGGAATGACCCCCGTGCTATTGCGCGACCCCGCTCCCGCGCCACTCAATTGGAACAACCTGCTTCGAAGACCTTGGGCCTGCACCCGCGAGCGTCCCCCTCCGGGAGGTTCGCAATCCGCTCCCAACCCTGTACTCCAAACTAGTCGCTAGCCCCCTGTTACCGCAGCTGAAATAACCTCCCCAGCCCCCACAACTTCGCAGCATCGAACCTCCCTTCGAAGGGTGTCACTTTGTGCTCACGTCACCTCCCTACACCACCTTCAAAGAAACAAACAGCCCCACCAACCTAGTCCCCAGTACCCTTACTCACCTTCATCATGGCGACTTGGCAGGTTTATGCGTTCATGACCCCCATCGGTCGGTCCTGGGTTAGCCCTGTGAAACTTCTACTTCTCGGGCCCGTACACGACACTCTCTCTTGCACTTCCCTTCACTCTCACTATTACCACTATCGCCGCGACAAATTGAAGATAGAAAATTAATACCAATTCAACAATATTCTCCCCGCCAAGAACGTGCCCTCTCCGTTGCTGCCCGAACACCTGTCTTAAAGGCGGCCATGGCCAGCTCGCAATCTAACAGGTACAGTGCAACTTACAAACATGCCCACTGCGTGTCCTGGCAACGAACTTGCAAGCCTGAGCACTCGGTAAGTCTCACCCCTGACCGAAACACGCGACAAACCCCCAAAATTGAGCTCCCCTCTGTTGCGGGGTGTTACGGGTTACGCTGGAGAAACAAGGCCCCGATCTGGCAAAAGCCCCCCCGCCTAGAGGTCACCCATACAACCCAAAAGCATTACGCCGTCCTCCCCCGCGTTGACGCTGCTTGAACACTGGAGGCTTGAGCCAAAATGGCTCTCTCTCTCTCTCTCTCTCTCTCTCTCTCTTGCTTTCTTTTTCTTGGGGCAATGGGAGCCCGCTGCTTGGCGCCGCTCGGTATTCGGGACCCTCCGAGTTGCCCGGAGAAAAACGCGTCGCGCGCTTTTATCCCCCATTTGCCCCTGTAGGGTATTTACCCCACCTCTCTCTCTCTCTCTCTTTCTTTCTTTCTTTCTTTCTTTCTGTCTTTCTTTCTCTCTCTCTCTCTCTCTCTCTCTCTCTGTCT